GAGTGTGCGAGAGAGGGAGAGGGAGGGAGGGAGACGACGTGAGATGGAGAGTGATATTCGAATCACGAAATATTGAGGGGAACCTGCTCTGTCACTGCACCGCATGCTGCTGCTAAACTTGCCTTGCTGCTACTGCTACTGCTACTGCTGCCACCTCCTGCAACCCCAAATCCCAATTGTCTGATATCAATATTTCCCCCTCCCCCTTGTCTGATATATATAAATATATATTTTTGAATAATACCAATCCTAGTCTATCTGCCTTCTCCTCCTCTTAGTCCACCCCACCCCCTCCACCTCCACCTCCACCTCCTATATCTCAATTCACTTAGCATTTAGAGTGAAGTTGGTGAGTTAAGCTTGAGGTGGACATTTTCGCTAATCTATCTGGGCAACAGAAACAAGTTTTCAGGTGTTTGGTGGAATTGAGCAATTCATAATTGAAAATTTGTTGAGGATGCATAGTGGAATGTTGTTAGGCAAGAGAAAGCCTATTGACGTTGGCTTAGGTCAGTCTGTCAGTCAGCCATAGGTCATTAATAGATCTGGTGTGAGAAGGGAATGAGAGTCATTTTCGCGGCTTCCACCTCTCATCTCCACATCAAGATCCTGAAAGGCATGCTGGCGTCGAGTTCTTGCGTAACCTAGTAGTGCGTTGATGTCAGCTAAAGTACTGCAAAGTGTTATCTGAATTTTCAACCGAAACTTGGAGTTGGAGAATATTGAAGACACTTTCCCTCTCACCACTTGAGCAGTAGCATTGTGGCTTTCAACGCGTTTGGCGGCAAATGTGAAGACTTTTGCTCCCACTTTCTGTCTTATTTGCAGTCACATTTGTAGAAATCTCTTAACCCAATTCTCGTCATGTGTGAAGAAAGGCAACTTTGAAGGCATAGTCCTTCCAACAAAGTTTAATCAAATATACTTTGTCATTTCACTTCTCGCACACCTCCTCCAATTTTGTGGAAATGAATTCTTTAACTACCACAGTAACACTAAGCAATTTTGCATTCTATTTTGAAAGAGAGATGGAATCAATGAGCCGATGGTGGATTTGAGTGAATGAATGGTCAACTTTCCACTTAATTCACTTCGAAGAAACTTCTTCTTTGACAGATATTACAGGTCTATGGAAAATTCCCCCCAATAAAGACAAATGTCGTTAGCAGAAATGTAGACAAAAATAATCAAGATAACAAAACATGCGAGGTAAACATATTACTATTAGTGAATAGCTTGTTTAATATCCGGTCCGAATATTTGGAAAGAAAACGAAATAGTCTCTGCCAGTATAAGTATTATAAGCACACATATCTTCAAATAACCGGTTAGGTCATCGGTTGTGTCAATAGCGTCGATTTGTTGGTTATAAGATACTGGAAAATAATGGAGAGATTTAATCAATGACTTAAAAACGAAATGTGGAGAAATTTATGTTACTGATTTCAATTAACATTTTATTCTTTCGCATAATACTAATAAGAATTTTGTATACACTGCAATATAAATGAAAATGTATCATATATGTGTAATAGAAGCTTGGCATGTCCCTCGTGCATTCGGAAGCCTGGGTGAATGCACCTGTTTATTCAGCTTAACAGATTATTATCATCAGCCAAATAGCTTTACATTTCACTAATCACAACCGGTGGTTAAAGCAATACTTCATGTGGAATGTTGATATAAAATGTTCGAACCAATCAATCGAGTTCTTGAGTGACCTAGCATTGCGTTCATGCCAGCTAAACTGCTGTATATTGCAGGGTGGGTTTTAGAGTGTTTGCCTGTTTCGCGCACATAGGGATTGCGATTTCCGTTACGTCGTATGATAGATTGTGAAACAACTGTGCAAAAGTATGTCTCCTATAAGCCAATATCAACTAACTTTGTTCAGTCAACTTTGGAGCTAATTGAGATTTGAGGATGGCAAGTGTGATGTCGAAGAATTGTCCGAATGTAATGATGGGGACAAACTGTGTAGTCCTTGATTTTGTGTTTTGTTATTTTTAGTGAATTTGTGATGCTTGGAATCCATCAATGGATTGGCATGAATCGAGAAACGCCGTCTTCTTGATAGCCTCCATAGTAGAATATGGTTTTTTTGTGTTTCTGTGTTTTTGTTTGATTTATACGGGTTTTGCTGAATCGCGGCAGCAGGTTTTTTTCTGTTTTCCCCTTGTCCTTTTAACGTTTCTTGGTTGAGGCTGGAAAATATTCTATAATATACCCCCACCCTAGGGGAGACTGTCACAGAGCTTAGGTACTAATTACTGTTTAGGGTACGCTAACTCTGTAATGACTGCTGATTATTGATTGGTGGTAGAGTTTCTTCGCTCATGACCTCATTTGCTCGAATGCGCATAAGATAGCTTAGTTTGATCGCTTCACAACACTGCTAAAAGTATATTGATGTGCCGAAAAAATTAACCTTTCCATAATTATCTGCATACTAATCTTTCAATTAATTGATTAATATTGTTAATCAACCTAGAGTCTGCTTGGTTATTTCATTTTGATGCGATATTCTGATTCGAAACTGCAGAGTGCAATTGAACCAAGTTCGTATTTTGAGCCTAGGAGAGTCATTGGTGTGCATGTTGCAGGCTATTTATTGCCCACTGCATCTTAAAGCTCAATATTCTCATTCGATGTAGTGGTGTGCAATATTTTCTTTCTACATTTTTTTAACATCTTGAACTTTATTTTTTAGGTCTCAGCTATATGAAGTTCTCAATCAAAGCCCACATGAAAAGAACTCACAATCGTCAGTATTTTCATTACCTTCATAGTTTGAATTTCTACTTTTGCTAAGGTAGTTAATAAATAGTAATATCGTTATGAACGCATTTTTAAGTTGTCTTGTCGTTTAAGATTAAAAAAATTGAAAGGCTGATATTAGCTTCTTTCTAGTAATTGTTAAAGTAACTCAAATATTGTTGTACTTACATTTTTACTCCAAATTCCTCAGCTTTCTCTCACCAAATGTTAATGCTGGTGGAAATAGGCTGAGTAAAGGCAAGCTCCTAACTATTCACCTTAATTACTTCAATCGATGTCCTTATTAATCCGATCTTTGCAATGAGGTATTATCAACAGCTATGAAGCTGAACTCCTCGAATAATGGTTCATGTGGTCATTCCCATGGTTTGAGAACTTGCACAGAATCTACGTGAAACTCAATTGCTTTGCTCCAGTCAGTCTTGTCTCTTTGATCCGTCAAGCATCTGTATAAGTTCCCCAACTTAAGCTAAACTCGGAAACTTCACTCTAACTGAGAATCCTGCGAGAATCAGCTCGATTGCAATGAATGTTCGAGTGGTTTTGAGCACTTATTTTTATTTTGAAAAATAGATAGTTCGTAAAATGAGACATTTTAAAAAGGGGTACCTTTAAGTGCGATTTTACGCTATGAGAAAATATGATAGAAACAACAACAATTAAAATATATTTTTTGACAGATAATTCTTCCAGTGGCCTACCATTTAAACCCTACCCTTCTCAATTCTCTTCAACTGTTTGCCAAGGAATCTTAATAATGATATACCAAGCATGAAAAATTTTGTTATAATTTATTAGGAAAAATGAAGTATTTCAAAAAAGCAAATTGAGTGAAGAGTTGGGACCTGGAGCAGCATTTATACGAAGATTACAAAGATTTCATATATTAAGGAGGGATATGACTGAACTAAAAGCAGTCTATAAAGAGGCTGTTGACTTCTGACTTCAAGCTACCATGACCCGAATGTGTGTCATATTCCCCTACTTTCACAGTACTCATCTTACCTGTTCCTTCACCATTTTTTGTGACTGTCTATTCCACAACTCCATGAAGCCCAAAGTCAACCAAGGGGCTAATGATGACTATCATAAAGCCTGCCTTTTGATATAAATAAATACAAGGTCACCTGGTAGTGCACTTTCACCCATTTGAACTATCATTATCCTCCCACCTTTTATCAGCAGAAATAGAGATCAAATGAATGAAATGGAATGCTTTGATTATTCTTGAAAAAAATAGACACATGATGGACAACGATTTAGCTGTTGAATGACAGCGCTGACTGATTAAAGGGTGGGGATGTGAATTTAGACATGACGTTGATCTTCTCGACAGCTTTGACAAGAGCATCAATTTCAGAGCCCTCAGCCTTCAGAGCGGAAATGAGATTCTGTGTCTGGGATAATGGGAGAGTTGGCATCTGTTGATTTCTATCAGATCTATCGGCACTCCAAGGACTTATAGGGCTGCCAGAATTAGCTGCTACTGAAAATACAGATGTAGTACGCTGCTGTTGCTTCAGGCGCGTGGTGAGATGATCGTACTGTAGACGGATGTTCTCTAGCCAACCCAGCAAACCCGATTTGAGTCTATCACGAAGCGTTTGCACGGTATCTCGCATATCAACTTCGGCATCTGTTAAACCAGCGTCTGTACCTAGAACATGCATAAGGAATTTACTATCAAGCAATGAGAAGGGAGTCATCACTTTATCTCACCAATACTAATGAATGCAAAGGATGAGTAACACGCGAATAAAGACCGTAGCCATTAATAATTAGGAGGAAAGATCTAACAAATTGCTAACAGTAAACTTAATAGATAATCCTTCATTGCATGTTTTTAGTAGTTTAATCAATATGACCTTGAAAACGATTAAATTAAATTTTAGAATAAGCTGTGAAAAACGGCAGACTAAGCTAGTTGAACAGAATGTTCTATTCTAATTTTAAACGAAAACTATTGTAGCTCAGCTAGACATTAAACTCGTTTCATTTACAACCGGTTTAAATTATTAGAGTACTATTTAACATAATGCACACCCGATAACTTCTATGGTAATTATACACATTGTATTTATAGAATGGATAAAATATTAAAATCCAAATCGACACAAACACATATATTGAACTTACTTCGCAGACATTTGTCTTTTTACTTTCGATTAATCAATTTTGAACACCTTCGCGACAACTCACATGCATCGATTAGATTCAGTCCACTGGAGAGCAAATGAGAGCACCTTGGGGAAATCGGATAGCTACTAAAGTAATTTGTAAACCTTACTAACTTTCATTGGTTTTTAGGGGTTAAGTAGACAGAATTGAGAGGCAGTCACCTTCTCACCCTGTCCCTCTAGATTTGTGCTATCTCCTACTGTTTTCTCCAAATTCTGAAATTCTTTTAATAAAGTAACATTAAATTAAACTAATAGGCCTTCTTCATACCAAACAATAAAATCTTCAAGTAACTAATAAGTTTGCTAAAATGAATACCTTTTATTGAGAATGTATACTTTGACGAAATACAAAACCTCCCTATTTTAATGAAAGGTGTGCTAAAGCTTTTTAAGGGTTCTTTAAAACCTATTAGGTTACATGGTTGTAAGATCTAGGAAATTAAATTTTATCAAAAGAATATTTGCAGCTCTGGCCTCCATTCGAAAACTAGTGAACACAGTCAGAAATAGATTTGCGGTTGGATACAACAAGAACTAAAGAATGCTTGCGTTCATTAAATCATTAAATTCAGGGCGACACGATAATCAAATTATTACGTCAAATACTTTCCTTCTAATCAGACGACACAAGTCAAAGTGAAAAAAATTCAAAACGTAGAAAACGTTTCAGAGGGAGGAGGAAGGAGGGGGTAATGGTCAATTCATACCTAAAATAATATCAATTAATAAAAAGAATCCGCAGATTCAATACATTTACGCCTGAAACACTTAATGAATTAAGTTAATTATTCGAGCATTTTAGCTGAGAGCCTCATAAAGAGGTAGACTGTACTAGATCTTGAATATCAATAGTGAACTGGTTTATGAGATGTTAAGCAACCAGGACTATGATGCAATCACCAAGACTGAATATTATTAGTGCCTAAAACAGAATTCATTAAAACTGTAACCTGTAAACTCAAACTAGCCAGTGCTAATAAGTCCGAATCCACCTCAAGCCAAAAAGGAGGTTCCATTTTCTTAATAATTAAACCACACTATTTAAGCCTCTAATTTATTAGATCGGAGTAAACTGTCATAGTGATCCACCTCTATAAACATCTGCCAAGATCGTAGTAGCCATACTTCCTTTTATTACAGTCACAAAGAAACCGAAGATAAATTAATAATAAAACTAATCTAACATTTTCCTATTTAGTAGACCCAGGCTATCGAATAGTACTGATTTTATCAACTCAAATCAGCTACTTACTGAAAATGCGACGCGCAAGTTCTGAGATCCGATGATTAAGGGCTTCCTGGCGTTCAATGATTAACGCATGGCGATCGGTGAGTTGAGAAGCGCGGGTGTGAAGGTCATTTCGTGCATCCGCCAAAGCAGCCACTTCCTCCGACTGTGCTGCCAATGCGCCTTCCACGCCCTGCGCGTGTCGCAACACTGACGATGTGAGTCCAGAGTACTGGTTCATTTGTGTTGTACGCAATGACTCTGTGGCCTAAACGGGTTATATTACAGTGTTCAAGTGTAGTAATGTGGCAAATCGAATTTCTCGCAGAAGTATAGCTAAGAAGTAACCCCTAATTTTTGCACAACAGTTGCAAATACATGAATGAATGAATGAGCTTGACTACTAAAATGATCGGCAGCACTTTTCAATCCTTAAAGCATAATTCAGCGAAACAGTCCCTGTGAGTGCTAATGGCACTAACTATGAAAAAGCGTACTTTTTAACCTAGCCTTCTATACAATTACAAAATTAAAAAGATTAAATTTACACCCCTGGCGCAGTGATGGATAAATATTACAAAATCGATGGACATCGATGTTTAAGTCTGACTAATAAATTGTTGATGAAATTCGGCCCTCACAATACAAAAGTTTATGATGCTACCACTATAATTAAGATGAGTAATGGAAAGCCTATCCTAAATAAAATCTGGAGTTTTATCTCCGTGAGACAAACGTTACATGAGATACCAACATATTTTCGGTTTCTTGTTTTGGAAAAGTAATAATGGAGTCAACTCCACTCCAGATCCGCAAATAAAAAGCTATGACTACAGTAGCCAGGCTACCATATGAGAACTCACCTTTAGGAAAAGACGAAAGAACTCCAATTCAGAAATATTATCGTTATCACCATGCGAAGACATAATTGGCAACCGTAAAGATTTGGCAGTTTTAAGATTGCGTCGACAGTTCTTAACAAAGTCCGATTCTGTTGGGCTGTAAAATTGGGAAAATTTAACCTTATTAATAGATAGGGGCATTCCGAATACTCCGATTAATACACGTTTGCATCTTGTTAACATGTTCTGTAAAATAAGGATTTAGAAACGTTATTTTGGCATACGCCGTGATTAACTAAGAATGGGTGAAAAGCATAGCAAGATGTGATATCAACCCCAGTCAAGGCTAATGTAATATTCTGTTATTGGAGTAACTCAAGAATAGGGAGGGAAAGGCTGAATAAATTAAATTCCTTTCCGTCTTTAGCCTCCAAATAACCGAACTTAGCTTTAAAGGCTTTACCATAACAAATTTCCAGCACTGTGTAATAGAAATTGAAAAAAATGAAAAAATGTTTTACCGAGTAGGAATCGCTTTCTCTTGAATTGCGTTCCTTGACCTGTCGGAATTTGCCTCATTCCTCGGATCTTGAATAGGTGATAAAGGAGCAATAAATTCGGGATTAGATTGACTTGGCAATGGGACAGTCACAATGGCGGGACTCGATCCAAAGACAATATTGAGTGCAGGTGCTCTAGTGATGCTTAAATCGTCGACTTTATCCTCAGTAATTGGAGGAATTTTCCCTGGAAGCAGACCTATTATTGCTCGGCCTTTGCTCTTCAAACCGCTCGTTTGACTGTTCAAATTTTGTGTCAATAGGAGATACTCCACAAAAGACACGTTTGATCGAAACTTTGCCAACAAATCTAAAAAAATTGAAGCTATTATACTACATTTTAAGACTTTTGATACTTAAGTAATTTGGATACTCACCTGGGCCAGAGTTTTCATCCTGCTGGAAAGAGGAGTAGAGTTCACGAAGACTGGCCAACCAAGAAATACAGACATAATGAACACCGAAGTAGTGCAGGCAGAAGTAGGAGCTAGTTGTATCGCGTGGAGGCAAGCCAGTGGTTTTTGACCAGACATAAGTGGCTGGAATTAGAAAGAGCTTATGGCCACTGTCATTAGATGAGTCTAGCTCAGAGTCAATGTCACTCTCATCGTCACCGCGACGTGCCGAAGTGTCCAAGGGCTTGTCCAGTATTGGTAGCTCCAAATCAACACTGTCGATGAGATACAACACTGGAACACTGCGACCTAATTAACAGAGAGAAGTTCAATAAATTGAAAGCACCGCATTTCAATAAGAGTAGAAATGTACATGTAAAATAGTCCGGCTCTATTAAATAATTGAAAGAGAAAAGGCTATTTAAAGAATAAAAAACGTGTTCTACAGTGCGATACTTAAAAAAGCTACTTTGTTAATTCTAAACAAAAACAAGAATCGAATTATGACTCCCAAATGGAGAAGGCACTCGATAGGAGCTATGCTTCTCTAGAGAACTAATAGCGTGATCAAAATAATTTCATCTTTTATAAGCCTTAAAATGATGACTAAGGACTGGATGCTCAGCAAAGCGAGGATATAAAGACAAAGAATGAGTACGCATACAAATATTGAAATCGACGTAGATGCAATTAACTAGTTTATTTATGATAAGCACGTTGTACATGAAAGAACTTATACGAAGTAAACGAAGTAGGCGACGTGAAGAACAAATTGTAATAAGACCATTCAGTTTAGAACAACTTATGAAACATCGATTAAACCAATAGACCCATCCTCGAAAGCGCAAACAGTAAAGGAAAGAAACCTGACTTTTAACATAATGAAGTAAATAAATATAACCATTAGGATACAATCTTAAAATCACCCGAAATAAAACCCTAATTTGAATGATATCAAAATGAAAGAAATTATCATTCACTGTAATGAATGAATAAATACGCAAAAATTCAAGTAAGTACACTTGATATGTATAAATTTATTGGAAAAAATAAACAACGATTGAGTTCATGAATAAAACATGAATAGAATAAAATAATTACAAGAGCATACCTTGGGGGCGTGAGCTTGATTGCAAAAGAACAGAAGGGGGGATATGAAGACAAACACCATGGAAAACTCTTCCAGCTCGATTAGCGAAACAAACAACATCAGGCTGATCTTCACCGTCCTCACCACGAAGACACAACAAAGTCTCAAAATCAAAAGTATAATAGTCCTCATTGGCAGGAAGAATGCGAACTACACGAACAAGAGGTTGGCTGATATCAACCGGTGATGCACTCACTAATTGGATGTCGCCATTCTCGCAAATGGTATAGACAGGAACTCTCAAAAGAGTATCCTGTGCAAATCTATTTTCGTTAAAAAAGAAGGGAGAACCGAAATCGAAGTCAGTATAAACAGTGCCCATAGCTTCACTCAGGTTTAGCCCGCCAAATGAGTTGACAAGGCAGTTTTCCTTATCCGAATTCTCAATTGAAGCATCAAGATTGACAACAAGTTCATCCTCAAATTTAAAAGATCCTCCGGAAGAACATGTAAATCGGCAAAATTGAAGCTTCCCATTACTGGTCAGGAAAACAAGAAGATTTGGAGTGTACGGATGCCATCTAACCCGCACGAGTCGACAAACGTTTACAGTTTCGCCAGATAAAGAATCATAAGCCGTAGAAAGCTTCGCAATAATCTTTGTTTGTTTGGAACGAATTAGAGTATCCAACCTGGAAATATCAACAACATGAACTGAAGTCTCCGTAAGTACGGCCAAGAAGTTCTGATTGGGTGAAACTAGAATAGATTTAGGATACGATGACGGCTGTGGAGTGAGGAAGAAGGTTTTCTTATTAAGTTCATCATCTGAAGAAAGAACGTGGATCTGGCATGACTTGGAATCGAGAATAAAAACGCGATCCGGAGTATCTGAAACAACTAACCTTCTTTAATTACATATCATAACTTAATTTCATTAATTTTTCAAAAAAGTACAAAAATTGTAATAATAACAATGGAAAGGTTTCAAAATTTACCATTATTAAGACTGAAAGAACTCTTCGAGCAAGGGATAACCTTTGGAGTAAATGAATAATTCAATGAAGACGTTTCTAATTTAAGCTCTGATATGGTATCGTCAAGTAACTTCTCCATAATAGGAACATCAAACAGCGAAAACAGAGACTCACAAAAAATTTTTTCAAAAGTATAGGCTAAATTGTAAAATGTTACTTAAAATAATAATATTTCATTCATTTTTAATTATATATATAATATTATATTTATGCATTTAAATATATAATACTGTTGATCACAACAATTAACAATTTTGAAGAATCATTTCACATTTTGGAATTTTTATTATTTTTTGACAATCTTATCTGAATCATTTTTTAGAGGTTCGGTAGTCACCAATTCACTTTTAACGCAGGTGCGCTGTCTTCAAATCTAGTCTTTATAAAATTCTATCCATTTTTAGATTTCCGGTTTTTATCTTGCTTGCATCATTTCGAAAGCCCTTTTACGAGTTTTGATCTCAAGATGAAGACTCGGGCGTTAATTCCATTCACCTGGGGTCTTTTGGCACATCAATTTTCTCAGCGTTCAGAACAGGATTCATATGAAGGTGGAGGAATTAATGCCATCAAGACCACTGCCACGATTGACCGATTGGTTGAAACATATAAGGTATGCTTTATATACCATACGTTAGTTGAGTTCAGGAAACCTGTGGTGCTCCTGGGGTTTCTGTGTGCGTTTCTGTTCGTGGAACTACGATTTACTCTAAGGGCTTCGGATTTGCAGATGTTGAACAGGGCGTAAAGGTTACCCCTCAAACCAAGTTTCGAATAGCCAGCATTAGCAAGTCTTTCACCTCACTCCTTGTTGGTCGTATGATTGACCAAAATCGCATTGATCTGGATAAAGATGTTAGCTCGTATCTTGATGACTTCTGCCCCAAAACAAAGGACGGGAAAAGAGTAGATTAATCAGGCCTATTTTCCAAGCTCCTTAGGTCTCAGTTACTATGCGCCAATTATTGAACCATACAAGCGGTATCCGTCATTATAATAAGCCTGAAGAATTTCTTAAACAGGATAAGGTATATCAATTTTTTTATAAATTATTGTAATTATCGGAACAAGCACTATGAATCGGCTCGTGATTCTTTGGAGATTTTCAAAAATGATCCTCTTGTTCATTCACCCGGTGAATATTATCTTTACAGTACCTATGGTTTTACTGTTGTATCTGCTGTAATTGAAGCGATTATCGCCAAAACTCAACCTGTGGTGCCTCTTTTTGCTCGCTCAGTCCGCCTTAAACCACCGTCCGATGACAAAGAAAAAAAGAATCTTCCTGATGAAGCGAAAATCGATTCGCTTTTACTTCAACTTTTTGCCTTCTTAGGTCTGCGAAATACCTGTCTTGATGAACCGTCCAAGATATTTCCATTCCGAGCCAGGTGCTTTGTTTCGCCAACTCCCTTACTTTTAAAATACAATTAATTGCTTTTTTTGCTCATAGACCATACTGTCGGGATAAGAAGAACTTCTGTAAACTTGCGAATTCTGTTTGGGTGGATAACTCGAGCAAATGGGCGGGGGGCGGCATTCTATCAACTGGACCTGATCTTATTAGAATGGCCAATCACCTTGCAGACATATATATGGGCCAGCAACCCCTCGAAAATGCTCTTGTTGTCTCACGTGATACTCTAGTGAACTATCTTTGGCGTCCAAACACTGGTACAGCTCAGAGCCAGTGGATTCCTGGAGGACTCTACGGTCTGGGCTGGTTCGTTGCAAGGTAGGCTGTATGAAAAATTAAATTACTCACTCTAATTAAATTCTGCCAACTCCCTATTGATTTTCAAAGTAGTCAGTTAACGGAGGAAGTATATCCTTAAATTTCTGGAAAAATGTGAATTAATCATCACGACTACACATTTGCTCTGTTTGGTGTCGTCGGCCTGGTATCTTGATTACTATCCGCTTCTGTCTTACTTTCATTGACTTCAATAAATAAGTAATAGGTCAAATAATTAGCTAAACGACCGGGTAGCTTGTATTATTTGAGAATAGTTCTTATAAGTTTTTTTCTATTCGTTTAACTAGCTTTTTCTGCCCATTTTCCTCATTTAGGCGTTCAACGATTCCGGTTGATCTTGATTTCAAGCAGATACCATTCGATCGTCTCTATGTTGGTCACTCAGGGGCAGCCGTTGGTTTCACTTCTATTCTCCTTATGAGTCTTCCTATTGTTACGGAAACTGGGTCTCCCATTGTGTGCCAACAATTGCCGCCAATCTGTGTAGCCGTTCTGGTTAATCTCGAATCAGCAAGTGGAATCGGTACATTAGGTATCCAAATTGTAGAAACCGTTACGGAAGCTTTAATGTCTTCACTTCCTTCAATCACCAATGATGCTCTTACTTTTGCTTCAAAGAAATAGAAGGCCAATGCTGCTTGGATTCCGTTGCCATGTCTGTTTGATAAATCGTAATTTTTTTCTTCCTTTAAAGTTGCTTATTATTTGTTGCTCTATGTTTAGACTACGTAATGCTCTAATTGTGTTGAGGTATTAAGGTGCTGCAATTTTTTGTTAATAGTTTATATTTTCATAAAAACTGGAATAAAATAAGCAGACGCGGGGAGTGAATCAAAAACTATATTTCAGTGTTGAAATGTGATTATGAAGCTCGTTTGTTTGATCGCTTGAAATAAGGGTATTAGCGTAAAGTATACTAGTTTTACTAACCAAAGTTAAATGAGGAAAGGATATTGACCACTTGGACCAAAGAGGGATAGAGTTAGCTGCAATAAGTGCGAAATGATGAAAATCCGTTAAGATAAATGGCAAACGATTGAAGAAAGAGAAACGTGTATGTGTTGCAGGGGGTTTTAGGGTACCATTTCCACATATATGGCTCCAAGGAGACTGAAGATGGCATTAACTGGTTCGCAATTAGAACAGCGTTTAAATATAATAATGTATACTAGGGAGCTGTAATCCAGGTCCATCTTTAAATTGATTGAGAATTTTTTAGGATAGTCAAATGCATTTTAGGGGATAGATATGTTAGCAACGGCTTGAATTACGTCATGTGCTGATGACAATGGAGTACGATGAAGAAAATAAAAATCTATTCCGCTTAAGCGAACGCACAAGGTTTCAAATGAGATATCAAGATAAACATGCAGGGCCTAATGCTGCTTGAATGTTATAAAATTTAAAAGAATATGAGATATAAGTAGGCGTCCTGTTTTTAAGCTGTTTCAGTAAGAAATTTTAGGGAGGCCAAATCCAAAAGGTGATATGTATGGAGAGTTGCAGTGCCTAAATTTTTCGACATTATGTAAAATATATTATTATATTTAATGGCAGGCTTTATGATATTTACCATTAGCCACATAGAACAAATATAAATGAAATAAAGATATATTTCCCTATCAAATAACTAGTTCAGACGTATCACAAATGGAGTAAAAACAGCTTTGAGAACTTAGCATAGGAGACTTGCATACAATAGTGGAAAATAATGTAGATAACAGCTATTACGGGTAAAATAAATGCATATATATATATTCTTTTCTCTATTATTGAGCACCGTAAGCTCCTTAAATATTTTCATCAATTAATCAAAACATTCATTTAACAAAAATTCAATTACGTCAAATGACGTTTAATCTCGACGAAAATGAATAATTAACGGCCAACTAAATTTTGCCAAAGGAATTAGTATTTTGTTGGCAACATAAATTTATATTTTTATCATGTTCTTCTTTGGTAGCAGTTTTAGTGTGCTCTTCTATTCCACAACATTACGAAACAGGAATACTGGTTATCGTGCTATCGCGATAAGACATATAACCTACTGTATTTATCTTCATTTTGTACAATCCCCCCTCCCAATATACTATTTCTAATTTAAATACATGGTCATTATCGATGGGGTTTGTTTTTTTAACATTTAGTTTAGTGGTTTCATTCGCTTGATTTGTTTCCATACTATTACACAAATTAAGGTATTTATTTTATGTTTTATTAAGTCATGATTATTGTCGCTATCTTGGTCATAAAGCTTGGGAAGCTAGTTCATTAACTTAGTCATTTGTAATTAATTTTTATGAGGTCATACCTAGAGATTTTAAGGTTAGTTTGTTTCGTTATTGATTTCTATTTTTCCTTTTTTGAATGTTTTCTTTTTTCTTTAATTTTGCCGCAAAGTCCTACTCTGCTTGATCATAAATGTTACATTATCTTTATTTTTCTAAAATCTTCAATCTTGGTATGAAGTGATAACTACTGAAAGTGTACACTGTTACTTATCCGGTGTATATTCCTTTTGTTAGATGATGCAGCGTCTTCTCTCTAGTCTGTTCTCAAGGTCCTCAGCCCCCATTCGGTTACTTTCAGCTGTTAAATCTCGAGATTTTTCCGTTAAAGTTACTCAAAAAGCACCAAACTTCGCTGGTACAGCTGTTGTTAATGGTCAATTCAAAGAAATTTCACTTCATGATTTCATTGGGAAATATCTCGTTTTGTTCTTCTACCCCTTGGACTTCACTTTCGTCTGCCCAACTGAATTAATCGCATTTTCTGATCGTATCGAGGAGTTTAATAAAATCAATTGCAATGTTGTTGGTGTGTCAACAGACTCGCACTTCAGTCACTTGTCATGGATCAATATGTCCCGCAAGGTTATAATAACTTTGGCCGCTCTTATTTGTGCTCTATAGTGATTTTAATTTCAACATCTTTTCCTTTATGCAGGCTGGTGGTCTTGGTGGCCTAAACTATCCCCTCTTGGCTGATTACAAGAAGGAGATTTCTCGTGACTATGACGTTTTGTTGGAAGATAAAGGTCTTGCTCTTCGAGGTCTCTTCGTTATCGATCCAAATGGTGTTATTCGCAACATGACAGTCAATGACTTGCCTGTTGGTCGATCTGTGGACGAAACCCTGCGTTTGGTTAAAGCATTCCAGTTTGTTGATCAACATGGTGAAGGTAAGCTTTGACTGTCTATCCTGCTAGTATATTTGCAGCCACCTTCTTGGCACAGGAAGCGCCTCATTGGCTAGCGCTGCTACCTGTCAGGTAGGCGCGTACATATATGCGGTCTGTTGTTTCATTTCAGCCTATCCAGTTCGCGTTGCCTATGCGCTTGTTACTGTTATTATTTTTTTTCTAACGACATCGTGGCATAGTATTTTACTTACATTATTTATGTACTTTTACCTAAGCGATAAATGTTTTGATTTCGACTTCGAACACTGGTTTATCTTTGCTCCTTTTGAAATATTCGTCAAAATTTAGAGATGCAATTCCCCTTTTTACTTTATTCTAAAATTCTTAAATTATTCTCTGCATTCCTTTATTTTTTGTTCTAGTTTCGAGGCAGACCTCTTGTGTCAAATTCCTAAATTTCTATGATTTCTTAAAGAGAAGAGTAGTCATTAGTTGTTCTATTCTAGTGTATTTCTGTGCACCAGTGATTTATGAAATCAGTGCTTACAAAGCCGATCAGAGTAGTTAGTTTTATTTGTCCATTGAAGTGCTAATAAGTGCCTCTACTTCCATGCTTGTATTTCCGCTGATATTTCCAAACTCTGTTATAGCTCTTTTTTAAGTCGTGTTTGCTTTTTCATTCCCTTCTCATTATGTCAACAGTAAATTACTTGTCACAATGGATTCATATAGCAATTAAAATCTATCTGATTTTATTGGTGATCTGGTATAAATTTTTTTTCTTATTTGTAGTTTGCCCTGCCAACTGGACACCAGAAAAGCCTGCTATGAAAGCAAGTGTTGAAGGAGCGAAAGAGTATTTTGAGAAAGTCAATTAAGTTCTGTCATCTGTTTTAAGCCTAAGAAGTCGGCCATACAAATTTTTTGACATTTTAGCTAAATTAAGCTACGATTTTCACATCAATCTCAATAAATCTTTTTACTAATATAGTTCTTTTTTGTTCTTTCCTTGGAATCATGCTAATAATCCACTTTCGTTAATAATGTCTTCGAGACCTAATGTATTATTTTGGGGGAGGATTACTATCTTTTACTTGTTTCCATGGTCGCTTAAATGAGTGACGATTTTATAGCAGAACTCAGAAAACGGTGTTTTGTTGTAATACCTTAAACGAGATTAACACCTCAATACTATCTATATATTCGCCTTTTACCTGTTCTAAAAGGAACTCGTCTATTTTAAGCAACTTCGGATAATCCGATTGACTGAATTAGGTTGGGTTTATTTAAATCAAAACGCGCCTGTTTTGAACTGGGCTGTTCGTGGCATTAGCCCTCGGCGTTTAATATGCCTGTCTACTAATTCTAAGGTCACGGTTTCAATGCTTATCGATGCAATTCTAGTGACTGCTATGAACAGAACCGCCTCGATCCAAAGTGGGAGTTCGAAAGATCTTTTCTAAATGGGTTTAGATAATAAGAAAGTTGATCGATGAAATATGATGTCCGTGTAATCTGCTTCATTTACTTACACAGTTTTTGATTCCGAGGTTATCTGTCTGATTAATTTTAACAGCAGCCTGAGTAAAAAGAGGGATTAAGCCGTCCATTATTAACCTTTCCTACTTTTGAATCACTTCGTATTCTATAGTGTTTCAAAGAACAGTTAATAAAATTTCAATTCGTTGGAGGGAAGTGCTCATTTGGTAAACATTTTGCAATCGGAGTCCTAAATTAAAATTAAACGAGGCACTGACGCCTTGACGTGAATCACAGCATCCTTTCGTCACCCCTACTCTTATTCAATGCCAACTGCAGCAATCCATTAAGAAAAATATTCGCATTTAATAGTACTGGGGATAATAATAGCACCTATTATGTATACATTTAAATTTTTATATCGACTCGCCTGTGCAGGTGAAATAGAAGGTGGTTATCTAATATTTTGTCTCCTCTATAATGCTGTTGAAATAATTCACCAATGTTGGCAGGCGTATCCTCGATTGTAGTTCCATGAGTGATTTTAAGGCTCCTAGTCTCATTATAATATCATGACGGGAATACAGCGTCTTCATACACGTGTGAATTTCTTGTTTATATACTGGATATTTCAGATTGCGAATTCGGCGTGACTAGAAGTATCCATGGTTTATCCTCATTTTACTGAAGCATACTTGGTATTTGGTATAGATTGACGATCCTAATTTATATTTGAAATCGATGGCTACTTATAAACGAGCCTCAAATTACCTTCCAAAGTTCATTTAGTGGTAGGAAATGCTTAGGGAGAAAATGGGCAAAATCACCCTAAGTAACAAGAAGACTGTCTACGGACAAGCTATAGACTTACCTCCACGTGGTGCACCCTGGGCAACGTATATTCATGCGACAAAAAGTCTATTGACTGCCAGTTGACTTCTCACTTCAAACTACCATCACTCCACTGTATGTCCTATTCGACTATTTTCACAGTACTCATCTCACCTTTGTTCTACCTTTGTGTCTGTCTCTTACATCTTTGAAACACTCTTCTGTCCCCCCCCCCCCCCCTATCGACTTTTCCAATTTGATGTTCTTTCTCCTCTGTGAAGCCTGAAGTCAACTAAAGGGTTAATGATAGCCATCAAAACGCCTGAAATTTGATATAAATTAATAAATGTTTATTACCACTATTTAAATGGACAAACGAGATACATTTGATCACAAGAAGTTAATTGTACTTAAATCGCCAGACACATAATGATAAATTCGGATATTTCTCAAGCTATTTTCTCCTTCACAGTCACGATTACTACAACATTTGGAAGTTTTTTAAAATTAACTAAAACACCGTGTATCACACATGGGACCTTTTTGGATGACTAAGAATTTATTTATTTCAAATGGCAGGCGTTTTGATAGTTATCATTAGCCCTTTAGCTGACTTCGGGCTTCACAGGGGGAAGGAACATCAAAGTAATAGAAAGTCGAGGGATGGGGAACAGAAGAGTGGTTTACAGTTGTAAAAGAATGACACAAAGGCAGAGATAAGGTAGGATGATTACTGTGGAAGTGGTAGAATATGGCATCCAGTAGGGTTATGGTAGTTTGAAGTCAGAAGTCAACTGCCGGTTAATGGACTTTTTTGCCGTATGAGTATACGTTGCCCAAGTGCACCACGTGGAGGTAAGTCTATCGCACACCCCTGGATGACTAAGTAAAGATCTGGGATGACGCAAACCTGCAGAGTTCATTGATATGAATAAGGGGTAACACAGCGCCCCCATAAGATGAAGCATGTCTTACACATATAACGGGCATATTCGAAGGTAAAACGGTGCATCTTAAAATCGTCGTTCCCATGCAAGAGTTTTGATTAGGAGGCGAAAAATAATTCCGATTTCCGAACTCCGCTCTCCTGGGGACATGTAAGTTTTGACACTTGCATTTAACTCATCCATTTCGACCAAACATAGTCTACCAGGAATCGATAAATTTAGAGAAAGTGAGTTTGGTACTCTTTGCTCAAATCCATTTAAAATAGCTCAAAAGGCGAAATATTATATTCCAAAATATAACATAATATTTGGCATTTTGAGCTATTTTAAATGGTTTTGAGCAAAATGGGGTGTGCGATAGACTTACCGCGTGATGCAGCCTGGGCAACGTATACTCATACGGCAAAAAGTCTATCAACTGGTAGTTGACTTTTGACTTCAAACTACCATGTCATATTAAACCACTTCCACAGTGTTCACCTCACCTTTTCTCTGCCTTTGTGTCTGTCTGTCTCCTTTACATCTGTGAATCACTTTTCCCCCCTCTCGAATTTTCTCACTATGATGTTCCCCCCCCCCTCTGTGAAGCCCGAAGTCAGGTAAAGGGCTGATGATGACTATCAATAGCCTGCCATTTGAAATAAATATTTCAAGGTTTAGATCGATCAATAATACCAGATGGATAAACCGGAACGAAACCTGTGCATATGTGTGTATGTATATACGCGCGGTATACGGGCTCCGTGTCGGAACATAAACTCAACTCGCTTTAAGACACAGTGACTTGAGCGTGGTTGACCTCCACGCTGCACATCATGTGCACTAGACCAGATGTGTTCTATGTGTGGCCTTCAGTTCTAA